ACTCCCCCTTGGTTTCAAGGTTTATAACATGGGTCTGCTAACCTTATGTCACAAAGATGCATATCTATTTCATGTCTGCTAACATCTCCTACAGTTGATAAGTTAGCACATACACTAAAAGTACCTGAAACTGATAGTTCAAAATTTCCACATGACCCTGTGGTTTCATAACATGGTATCTTTGTACCACCTAGTACCATTATACCTCTACTAAAAAGGAATTCAGCAGGACCCAACTCATCAGCAACTAGGATATCTCGGCCGAGGATACCGTCCTCTTCAATATCTGCAATAGCTATGTCCCTAACCATTTTCAGTTCCCCAACTGAATACTAAGTCTCTGTATGTTTTTGTTTCCAACCTGAGAGTCCTTGACTCTAATTGGACAACAAAAACTTTCCGATTGTAAGCACTCATCATTACTTAATCTCCCATACACCCTTGATGAAAGTATAGTCTATGATGCCCCAGTGCTCACTGTAAACATCAATGGTTCTTCGCTGACATAGCTATTCGTGCCGCCCTCAGATCCTAATGCTGATGATTTCCTGCCAATTGCTCTGCATCCCTTTACATCTTGAATATCCTTAGATAACTTTATATTGGCCTGTTTACATTGATTTATCTGGACCTCTCTTTGTCCCCAAGAGATGGTCCCATTGTCTGTAATATCGACATGCCTTATGTCATTAGGTCGCCTTTTCTGACAATCCCTTGCAAAATGTCCCATTTCAACACAGCTGAAGCATTCAACTTCTCTTTTACCTGACCTTTTGCTTGATTCTGTCTTCTCAGATTCTTCGGCCTTCTCTAGCTTAGATAGCCTCTCGAGGATTTGGTCCAGCACCTTGAACCCATGATTTTTCTCCTCACTTTTGTTGTCTTCCATGTTCTGGTATGCTGACATCGTCCTTACCCTTTCATGTTGCAATAGGTCTGGTTCAAATATTTGATATAACTGTTGTGCATGTCGGTTTCGTCTGTCATGTCTTGAGTCATACCTAGTTTGTATTAAGTTGACTGCATGAAAAACTGCCTCATCGATATTTGAAGGCTCTTTATGATATTCTATTAAAAATTTCATTTCTTCGTCTCTGAGCCCGTCAAGGCATCTTCTAACCAGATCCTCGTCCCTTGTCCTCCTATCGCTGTAGCCATGCGCCTTTTCGTACAACCTCTTCAGGTCCGCCGCATACTCTTCAACTGTTTCCCCGCTCCCTTGAGTTCTGTTGCTGAATTTTGCAGCAAAGGATCGCGCAGTTTCTATTCTCCTGTATCGGCTGTTGAGCTCTGCAGCATTCAGGTAATCATAGCTCTGAACGACAGCTGGAGGCAGTTGTGTAAATACAAACTCGCTCGCTGGACCTTCTTTTCTAGGCAGAAGCTGGTCTTACCTCTCTTCTCGTCCCCAGCCATACCTGTAGGCAACAGCTTCGAAACCGGCTATCCACGTCGTCCAGTCTTCTTTGCCTGTAAAAGAAGGAATTTTTACATTAATTGCATGACTATTATGACTATTGACATAAGGTCTTCTTACGTATGCCTGATCACAGTGATCACCATACCCATAGTCTATAGGTGCTCTCCTTGGGACATCATACCTGCTTCCTACTCCATAAGATACCCCCGCTTCTTGTTCCGCACGGGATCCTCGTGCATCTTGTCGCTGTGAGCAGTCGTCAACACTTGCTTGCCTGTTAGGGGCCTGCTTCAGCTCTTGAAGTTCCTTGACCACATCTCGCAATACGCTTGTAACCCCACTCATCACAGCTGATATTTCTATTGCCGCATTCACATTGGTGTTCTCATGTTCACTTTTCTTCATCTGTATTGACACATCACTCAACACTGAAGCCACATCAGACATTTCATCGGCCGTCTCAAAGTCAAGCGTCCTGGCCTGCGCTCCTACTGTCTGCTGACCATCCTTGAAGCTTATCACTCCCTCGCTGTCAACAGGTCTAGGGCTTTCCATGCTGTCGCTGTCTAATAGTGATGAATGAAGCTCTCTGGTAGCACCAAGTACAGGTTCGAATCTCTGGATCTACCCTTGGAAATCAGTAGATCCCACCGCTGCCACCATAAAATGTTACGCTCCTGCGCTTGGTAGTGACCTTAAACTGTTATAGCTTTCAGCTGCTCCCTGTGACTTGTTAAAGTCTGATGGCCAGATCTTTCGTAGTCTATCTCTCTGCTCCCTGTCTGTCTGACAGCTCCTCTGTAGACTGCAACTCTATGCTGCCCCGTACTGTTTGTTAGTCTGCTCAACGTGAAGTCATGTATCGTATTCTGCTGTAGTATGCCACAGCTATCCCTTTTGACTGCTCTCCGTGACTAACTTTAGTCTTGATGTAGACAGAAACTTTTCTGGCTGCTCTCCGTGATTTCACGTCGTCTGCTACTGATAGTTGACTGGCCGCTGAGCAAAAATAATTAAGGAGGAAAAAATTACAAATACTTTTTAAAGTTTCTAAAGTTTATTAAACAGTTTAAACAAGCAAATATATATACATACTGTAAGTTATTATTATGTCACAAAAATCGTTCATAAAAATACTGTTTTAGGTTACAATCTCAAATTCCCTCAATAAAGTTTCTAATCAAAATAAAACTTGAACTTCACAAGAATAAATGTCAAATTCTTTAATAAAATAGTTAAATCCCAAAGTTAAATTAATAATAATGTTGTGCGCCAGAAAAATTTCGAATAAATGCCAAAGAATAGAGAATTTTGAAGAAAATGCCAAAACGGTGCACAAAGTTAATTTTGGATGTTGAAGCTCCCGAATGAAGGGAAGCTGGCTATTTATATGCCACAGTCCCCACACATTCCACAACTTTGTGGAAAGAACGCTCCACAGATATTTTTGTGGACTCCACAGTTTTCCTCGTGGGAAGACGTCCCACAGATTTTCTTGTGGAAGGAACGCTCCACAGCTTTTTCTGTGGGCTCCACAATAATTTTGTGGGATATCTTCTGCGCCAAAAATAGGCACCTAATCAACAAAATATACTCGTACATCAAAACTTATAATAAGAATAATCACATTAAAATATTACATTTTCGAAGTGTCAATATAAGTTAACAAATTATCATCATCGGATAAAGAACTATCCCTTGCATTCACTACGTAATAGCAGTAGACGTAATTAATAGTCCAACATGGCCGACATTGAAAAATGCATTCCAAATTATAATAAATATACAGTGTTTACAATTAAATTCAGATGGATTAATAATACAGATTTATATATTAAATGTGGCTACATCATATACATGCAAACTTTAACATCTTGAGTGTGAAATAAAGGAATTAACTATTTTGACAGAAGTCACGAAAACAGATTATAAACAAAGGATTCTACCATGGATAACATTTAGGGAAAATCTTCCAGAATCAGGAAGGATTAAATTGCTGGCACAATACGTAGATTTACGTTGATGTCCTGTATGTTTCATTAGGACACCACATGATTAAATCATTTACTGTGTTGTCGTCAGTAAAAGCTTCACAAAATGAAAGTGAAAGTAGAAATAAACAAGACTGAAATCCAGTGAAATCACAGAAGGTAAAATTTCTAGGGCATTACAATATGAACTTGAAAACTTGTATAATTCATCTGGATGACTTGATAGTTTACAGTAACACATTTGAGGATCACCTTGAAAGATTGGACCAAATATTGACTAGATTGAAGGAATGTGATCTGAAACTTGCACCAGAGAAGTGTTTCTTTTTCAAGGAAAGAGTTAACTTTCTTGGACATGTTGTCAGCAAGGATGGTATAGAGACAGACCCCTCTAAGATTGACAAGGTAAGAAATTGGCCAACACCATCAACACCAGAGGAATTACATTCTTTTTTAGCCTTTGCTGGATATTACAGGAGGTTCATTAAAGACTTCGCAAAAATAACACGTCCTCTAGCGGAACTTATCCCACATCCATCTACAAAGAAAGGTCCAAGACGAAAAGAAAACACCAAGGTATGGAACTGGACAGAACACGAGCAAGAGATTTTTGATAAGTTGAAGGTTATCCTGTCATCTCCGCCAATACTCGCCTACCCTGACTTCGACAAGCCGTTCGAACTTCATACAGATGCTTCGATCCTTGGTCTTGGTGCGATTCTTTACCAACAAGATGGAGATCGTAAGCGTGTGGTTGCTTATGCCAGCCGTTCACTATCTAAATCAGAAAGGAAGTATTCTGCATTCAAGCTCGAATTCTTAGCTTTAAAATGGGCAATAACCGACAAGTTCAGATGTTACCTAGCAGGAAAACATTTCAAATGCTATACCGATAACAACCCCTTGACACACATTCTAACATCTCCTCCGAAATTAGACGCAACAGGACAGCGATGGGCCGCAGCCTTAGGGGAGTTCGACTTCGAAATTCTTTACCGTCCTGGTACTAGTAATGTAGATGCAGATGCTCTAAGTCTATATCCCTATCAAAAGGTTGATGATGATGAAGAAGAAGAGAGAATAAAGATGGATACAGAGGTGGTTAGGACAATTTGTAGTGCACTGATGACATCGCAGCCATTAATTGACGCTTTACCAGCAATGAATCTGAACTTGGTTGAAATGACAGAAGATCCCGGAACACCAATGGTTCAAATTGAGATGAGGGAAATCAGGCGTGAACAGATGGAAGATCCAATTTTTAGTAAATGGAGAATTGCAGTGATAGTGATAGTGATTGAGCTGATGTTTTTGAGAAAGCCAAAACTCCCCATAGACGCCATGTTTGAATTAGCTGGAGAAGCACGAGAAGAAAAAAGTACAAGTGAATACAAGAAATAGTGGAGACTTGTGTTGGAAAAGCGAAGACGAAACAGAAGTATTATTATGACAAGAAGGTTAGAGCTGTGAAATTAAACAAAGGTGATCAAGTTTAAGTAAAGATTATATCTAGAGGAGAGGGAAAACATAAACTAGCTGACAAGTATGAAGAAGAATTGTTTACTGTAAAGAGCCAGCCAATCCAAGACATGCCAGTATATGAAGTTGAAGGAAATGAAACTGAAAAGATCAGAAAGCTACATCGAAACCATTTATATATGGTGGATTACCACAAAATGGAAGATGATGAGAAGAATGGTAATGATGATGAGAAAGATGATAATGATGATGAAGAAGTTGAGATTATTGAGGAAGAAGAAAGAATGGATGCATCCAGAGTAATAGAAGGTGACGTCACCAGTGAGAGCTCAGACGATAATGGAGGCATGTTACTTGCCCCACAGACATTAGTACACGGGGACGCCCGTGAGCCTGATATTCAGAGTCTAGAGGAAACAGAAGTGGAAGATGTGAAAGAGCAACAGAGCATTGGTGTTTCACAGACCAATGATGAGAGTACATAGGTTGAACAAGAAGAAGATAGACATAATGTAGCAACAGAAGATGTGGTATGTATAGAAGAACATGAAGAGAATTCAGACGATAAAGACGAAACGATACATACAACAACACAAGACACCACAGAAAATACGGTAGAAGAAGATAACATTGAGGACACAATAGAAGAAGTGGTTGTCAGGCCAAAAGTGAAGAAACGAAGAACATTGCCCACAGAACCAACCCGACGTTCAGAGCGACACAGAAAGACACCTGAGAGATATGACGAATATGTCATGTTTGGAATGTAGAGAAGAGTATTTGACAGGAAGCTTCATGCTCTGCGTGCTATCACATTTTCTGGAGTCCTCGACAACGTAGATGAAGATATTGCGAAGAAGGTTATACATGTCATCCTGAAGTAGACTCACTTTTATGTTATATTGTTGAACAATAAAGTGTATTTTACCATGTTTTTAATATATTTCATAAAATGATATATCCTTTTATCTATTTAGGTTAACAGCGAGGACGCAATTTTGGAAAGAGAGGAGGAAAAGTAAGAAATGTTCATTTTGACTGTTTTAAGATATGTCTCTTTTTACAGGTGTGACTATATTTAGATATGTCTCTCTTTACAGGTTTGTCTGTATGTCCTTTATTACAGTCTGATTTAATAAAAGTTTATTAGTACGTAATTGCAATATTATATTGGTCGCGCGCCTGACCAATTTAATTTTGTAAATATGTACTTTATACTAAAACATCGGTTGAATAAACTGACTCTTAATTGGAAATGATTTTATCCTTATTATTGCCAAACATGTGAAACTTTCCACAATTTGTTTTCCAAGAGTACAGTATTTAATATTTTTATACACTCATACAGATTTATAGTCAGTGAAAATTGATACATTATACATAATACTCTGTATTATTTTCACTTATGTAGCATACAACCAGCACAAATTACTCAAAGGGGTTTTGTACTATCGAAGTATACACAAGTGTATTTTTATATTTCTTGGTTCCATGAAGCTGGTTAACAATTTTCAATAGAGAGAAAAATAAGAACCCCTAAAGAAAGCCCAACACGGAAAAATTGAAAATGTAGCAGGCTCGGTTTGATTGAGCCTGTTCATGGACGATACTGGTAAGTGCAAGTTACCGTCCACGCCCCCTAGCACCATATGACAAATAACAAATGAAATGATGAGAGGAGCCCTTGTTTTAAGTATCATTTTTGCATTAATTGTTTTGCAGAAGAATACTAGTTAATTTATTTCAGCAAAAGTAAACCCGAAACATTATTGAAATCCAAATATTTTAAATATATAAAAAGACTTTGTCCAATATGGTCGATAGGCAATTAATTCCATAGAATGAAATAATTCTCCTCACTGAAGTTTAAAATTGAATAATTTTCTTTGTCTCCCTCTCTCTTGTTACCTTAATTTTTCATAAAAGATTTTCACTTGTAATTTTTTTAAATACTGCACACTTTCTTTGGGTAAGCGTGATGTGTATTACATTTATATACACGGTTGCTCCAAATTAGAGTTGTTTTTTTTTCATCAAAGAAATCAATTGTTCCAAGATATAATTTCTTATTATAATATAGACTTTTAATAGGTATTGTTGTCATAGAAAATGGATTAATGTACTTTAATGTCATGTTATGTTGTTGTCTTGCCATATGCATAAAACTAAAATTAAGCTATAAAATGCAATTACAAATGTACTTTCTAATAACTTTGTTTTTATTACAGAATGATACACAATAGAATAAATTATAGATTGCTTTATGAAAGTGATGCTTAATTATGTTGCTATTTTTTATACCATGCACATATGGATGTCTTCAGCACATATGGAGCTCAAATGCAATTTTGAGCAGCGATTCCCTTCGTTTGAGCCAAATCTCAATAAATGTTTAAATCAGGATTTGTCTGAATGTTAAGCATCGGTCGGTAGTGAGATTTCGTAAAATCTCTGTTTTTTTTTGAGTCCGCTTAGTGACATTTTTTTCATTCACATTGCATGTATTGGACACACCAGAACCCATGACGGAAAGAATATCTCGATGAAGACTGCATAGAAATCCAAAACAAAAAAATGGTTATATAGAGGAGAGTCAGGAGGGTAGAATCACATTTCGATTTTCTCTAAAAAGGGATTGAATTTTATATAAATGTATAAAAATATGAAAACTTACCCTGCGATTGACCTATTGTTACAGTCAATTTGGTGTTATGCTTCACATCTGGTGCAGCTGAAATTCACATATAATTTTTACCGATGCTCATTTTTGAGATACATATGGGGTTCCAAATATAGACTTTCAATAGGTACTGTTGTCATGGAAAATGGATTAATATACTTTAATTTCATGTTATAAATGTTGTTGTCTTGCCATATGCATAAAACTAAACTTAAGCTATAAAATGCAATTACAAATGTACTTTGTAATAACTTTATCGTACATTTTGTAAATGAGATAAGTATGTATACATTTTTATCGAGCCAAATACACAAGAAAATTAATGAAACAAAGTCAGATTTTTAGTTTTTTTGTGTTTTCATTATTTTCCTTTCCATTTAATGATTTTATATGCTTGTACACGTATATTTTGCAGAATTGAATCATTTGATATTTTATTTTCGCATCATTTTTCATATTATTCACGTATACAAAGACTTCGTTATCAGTGACTAAATCGACGGTTTCTCTCAGTAGACATCTTTTTTCCGAAGTTCAATTCAATTAAAGAGTGATCAACGTTAAAATGATTGTTCTCTATATTATATGATGTATATTATATGATGTATTTACTTTATCATAAAGTCACACGTTACAGACTCAAACAAATTCTATCGAAGCTATAATAATCTCTGGTATTCAACATTAAGCATATTTATGATAATCTTAAGTAACATTAAATCACTCACATTTATTTTCGAACGTGGACATTCGCAAATTGAGGGAGACTCTGTACATGCCACTATCAAAAAAGCTACGAAAAGGCATGATATGTTTGGTTCTACGGATTGGATGTCAGCTGTGTCGAATAGCAAAGCCAGTGAGCCAAGATATAAAGTAATTGAAGTGGCTACATCTGATATAAAAGATTTTAAGGATTTGGCAGAACATACTATGGCTAATAGAAGCAAGGCAGCAGATGGTTCAACACTACAGTGGACAAAAGTACACATATTTGAATACAGTTAAATCTGAGCCAAACAGAATTTACTACAAGTATGAAGTTAATACTAAATTCAAGTTCATTGAAATTGCTCGGCCTAATTTGAGAAGAAAAATGAGAAAATTTGAGGGCTACGCATTAAAGAATGCATACGATAATCAGATATGTATATTGAAAAAGAAATATTACGATTTATTGAGTTAGTGCCAAAGGCAAATAATACTGCCAAGATACCATTCAATTAATGGTAGTCTACCCCAAAGAGAAGACCATGAATCAGATGAGTTTTGAACTATACCTCAGTATAATATAAAGATTTGATTTTCAAAATGGTTAATTGAAAGGAAACTGTCCATTCGGCATTTCAATAATGAACACAGCATGAATGATGAAATCATGCAAACATTGCGGACAATTATTTGATTACAATTTGTTATCCTGTTTCTTTTTAATTGTTCTTGTTCATGAAGGTAATGAGTTACTTATTTTAATGTTAATACATGATGCTAATATGAGCACATATCACAGACTTATGTTAAAAGTTTTGAAATGAAATAAATTTGATTTTAAAAGTTGGCGTCATTGTGCAATATCTTTTCCTACATCTATGCCAAATACGATTAAAAATACCTTTGAACAAGTTGGTTATCATTAATCATTATGATTTTGTTAGTGACAGCTTACAGGACTCTATCGCTGTTTCAATAATTTCAAGTGGAGGAGTTTAAAGTTGCTTGTCGGCATAAACATGTATGTTAGAAAACAATCGAAATATTGTTAAACACTGAGACTTATAAAAAATAATTGATCATTTGATTTCAAAAGTAATAGAAAGTCATGTGGTAAGTGGCAGTTGTCACTGTATGTTGAATTATAATATGGTTACATTGTTTATTCTAAAAATGGGTTAAGTGGCAGATAACGCCTTTACGGAAATGCAACTTGTCATTTCTGCAAATGTTATAAGGTGTTAAGTAATTATAAAATGATTTTTGAACAAACAATCGACCACACAATAGATAAAAATGATTACAGTGCTTCTAACATTTCTCGTTTACAGACATGCAAAGTCATTTTGAATAATGATTACAAATAAAAGCAGCAGACAGTTTTTTTTGATTATCTCAAAACTGTCATTTTTCACTTATCCCCTTATAGTACAGTACTATGCCATCGATTTATCGGGATAGCGTTCATTGAATGTTGCTCTCCCTCGTTAATCTTATATTTTTGAAAAGAGTAGCCTTCATTTGTACTTTGATTCAGCAGATAATTATATTGATATAAGTGACTAGAGTCAATATTGACTTTCCACTTTTCAACTTTAAAATAGATATGACATTGCTGCTTTGTTTCAGAAAATAATTGATATTACATGTATTTGCCGGAGAATTTAATATTTCAGATAGTGAAGCCCACAATCCATTTGCCTTTCACATATTAACTTGCTTATGTATATTTCATAAAGGCCAGTCTCATATAAAAACGTACGTAATATTCAAGGGGCAAGGCGTGAACTAGAGACACTTGGCAAATTGGCTACCAAGTCATGAATATATATATATCGCCCTGTCTCTTGTTGATCTTTGTTCTATTTTTGTTCACAGAAAATATTGCAGGCTCAGTTTGATTCAGCCATCCACGCCCCCTAGCGCCGGCTTAAGTAGAATAGCACAGAATAGTCAATTTGTTTCGTATATCAGCAGTCCCTTATTTATTTTCATATTTGGCTTCAACACATGTCAATGATATTTACTCACTATTAACCTAGTCTTGATCTCGCACTGATACGAAAAATATCCCTTTTTATTATATACCTATAAATGAAATATTGAGAAATATTGATGAAATAAAACGCTTATTTTCATTTTCGTAATTTCACTAAAAAAAGTATTTTAGTGAAACATATTTTCCGTGTTTTCACTGGTGTCTTGCCGGACTTTTTTTTTAAAATCTGCCAGTACACAAAATTTAAGGAATAGTCTTCCAAATTGTAGTTTAAAAATAGAGACAAATGTATATAATAAACAGAAAATTCAAGTTTTTTCTATAAATACATGATTTATTTTCATCTTGTGGCATGAAAATTATCACATTTCACTCGTGCCTACCGCGACTCATGAAATATTTATTTTCATACCACTTGATGAAAATAAATCGTGTATTTACAGAAAAAAACTTGAATATCCTCTATTTACGTATTATTACTTATTTTCGGCAGCCTATCGAATCATGTTGTAGAGGAAAGATATGGTTAATACACAACGGACGAAATTTTTCGCGATTTCTTTTCTGATCAATCGTTTCTTAGCATTTGAGCAATTAACTTTGACGGTATTAATTAATTCAAACGCATTAATCTTAATAGTTTTTCTTTTATTTCCCAGAAGTAAATTTTCAGTTCTTATCTACTTTTCATGAAACTTTAAATTTAAATCAAATTAAAGTTATTGATACCAATTGATTATTGATACTTTTCTTTCATTCGTGAAATTTCCTTTAAATTCCCACCAGAATCTACAAATTTTAAATATTTCCACTTGAAATTAAAATGTTGATATACTAGTATTTGATTATTATTGCGCTAAATAGAAAAATTCCAACATCTTATGATTGATTTAAACCACGAAATCTAATACAATTTTTACTCTTTCTCTGGCATTTCATTTAGAGGTATATCTTTGTTATACCCTTTCAACAAAACTTCATGTAATGTGTCGCACATGATTTCAATTGGTCATAACATTACTGGTAACAAGCATTTAACCTTTGGAATAATTGACATTTTCAAATCATTTCACTCATCATATCGGCAGCCTCCTGATACCTTGATTTTAGAATAAGATACTAATAAGAATATGTACAGTTTCAACAAATAAAGTTAATTAAATATATATTTGTTATGTGCATCGTTACGCGCATTGCAAATTCACGCTTAAATCTCAGTAACAAGCCTTTTATTCACGCTTAAATCTCAGTAACAAGCCTTTTAGTTTGCATGATTCTACCTCTGCCTCGATCGTATTGTTAGGACTACATTGATTCTTACATCAAAATGAAATCACCTGTTAAATTTATCTTATCATTGTTGAAGGAATGGAGAAAATGTTCTCGTTGAGATATCATTGACCACTATTATATTTATCTGCATTATAAGATAATCAACTTAGAACACAGTTTTCCTCTTAATTTCAGCCATACTCTATCATTGTAATGATTCACAATAAGGTAATTGTTTATGTGTACTATACCATATTGTTATATTTCTCATATACTATTGTGCATTTATATTTCACATTTAAATATTGTGGATAACGAATATGGAACTTCATATGCAATATAAGCTGATATAAGTCATGTCATATACGTTTAATTAGATAAGAAATAACAAGAATGTATATATGCATTAGAAGACACAAGAAAGAGTATACTATACGCAAGAAAAAAAAGTAAAAAAAAAAATCTGCTTTTTTCCTCCATTGTTTTATATAGTTACTAGTAATTGTCTTTTTGTTGTTAAACTTATTATTATTATTAAATATTATTATAAACACATTGATAGTATAAATTTCAAAAGACTTAGTAACGCTCATGTACAGACTCAATCAAACCGAGTCTGCAATTCTCTTGTATTTTTGTTGTGATTAATGCTTACGAGGGATCACTTTGTTTCCAGATTTTTATACTTCACAACAGTAGGTGTCAAGTTCTGTGTGGCAGCTGTTAAAAGTTGCCCGTACTTCACTTCAGTGTTGTTATAATTTTTCTGGTCCTTCGGGATCATTGATGCCAGCACTATTAAGTGTTGAGAATTGAGTACTGCTCAAGCCGGTGCTAGGGGGCGTGAGGGATGTTGCACTCATTCAGTATCCCTCATGTACAGTCTCAATCAAACCAAGTCTGTAATTCTCTTGTAATTTCGTTGTGATTAATGCTTCCGAGGGATCACTTTGTTTCAAGATTTTTTTACTGTGCGAAAGGATATTGTGGGGACTACATTCCGAAAATGTTGCTCTACCTTGTTTATCTCTATTTTAAGATTTTATTAAAATGTAAACAAACACAGACAAATGTTTCTCGCGTTTTTGTTTGGGTCCATGCCCTCTTGTAATTGATAGATGTTATACTATTTTCAATTACATTTCAAATATTTTGATAATAACAAGTTTAAGTGTACAGTACATGTTGATAGTATCAAGATCCATTTGTGTTACAGGCAATGTCCTGATTCAAGTACTTTTATTTTAATATGTTTACATGAGAAATGTAACGAATTGTGTTTTCTTTAGAATTAAGGTGTATTTTTAATTTTCATCCAACAAAAATAGTTATAATGTTTAGATTCTTAATCATTATTGATAAACTGCAATTGAAAAGCTCGATATTAGTACTGTATGCCAAATAGCTGCAAAAACAAGACAAAGTCTGTCCAAAGCCTGTGATACAGTGTGCCATGTAACATTTCTACACTTGTTTTCCGTGAAAAATAATTTCACCAGATACATTGCCATTAACGGGAATGTTTCTTGTTTATCTTTAAAGTATAAAAACAATGAAATGTTTGTCATAATAACCGACAGTGCGCTTCCTAAAACTTGAAAACCGAGAAATAAAGAGAAAATTGCTAGTTCGTCTGATGATTCGGGTAATGTACTTGTTACAGCAGATAAGAAGACAGTTAACGTCAGGAAAATAGAGATCGACAATCCCACCCGTTCTCCTGACTCTGAAGGTAACACAAAACACATAACGTCCAATATTGATATTAACATAACAGGGATGATAACATTAACGACGTGGAAAAGAGGTTTCCTCTTAACATCAATTAAGAACAACACGTGATCCCATTTCACGCCTTCAAATATTTTAGTTTGGTTAATTATTCTCACATTTTCAAGATACCATTCTCCCTTTTCTAAGATGCTGTGATCTTGTGGTCTCCATTCGGCGTATGAGTTTTTTAGTCGGATCGAAGTTGAAGGACGAGTCCATGAAAGAAAATCAAGCGGACATGTTTGTTTGTCAAACGGAAATTTTTTAATAGATATTTTACACGCAACTTTAAATAGGCCTCCTGGCCAAATTGTTACATGCCCATCGTAGTTAAGTATTGCCCTACCATTTTTATCTATTGAATTAAAAACCGACACAAATGTGTCTTGCATTACTATGTCAGGAACCCATATTTTATCACCTGGAACAGTGATTGATTTGACACCATCGAAATCATCAGGATTCCATGTCAGGAATTCATCTTTCCATTGAATATCTAGTACTGTTCTTATTGATATTGACTGATGTTTTTCATCAATGTCTTGAACAGAGTAAATCACTAAGTACATGTAAACAAAAAGTGCCTCTGTTGCATTCTTTTTAGGACAAGCGTCTTTGCTGTAATTTCCGCTGAAAATCATCCTGTGAATGTTCATTTCATTAAGCGCCACTTTTCTGTCAAATATTAATAATATCCACATCAATGTACGAAACGTTTTCATTTTTGCATTCTTTGATAAATTCTCAAAATAAAGGTGTTTACGAAGGCACCATACGTACCGTTGCCAGACGGCAAATAAAATATCATTTGTAAAATTTCATCTATAAATTCTCTTCTAATACGTTCATCTTGATATATTGTTAATACATGCTTTGACATTTATAAATTACAGGGAAAAAGTCTAACTTTAGTACTTGATACTAATATTCTATAATGGAAATGATTATCTGTAGAAAATATTAATAATATTCAGATCTTAATGTTTAGATAGTAACTGTTACACAATTGATCTTACTAATGAGGATCACCGATGGAGATAGTAACTGTTCCGCAATTGTTGTTACTCATGAGGATCAACGATGCACGTTGTAAACTACGTTATTGTTTCATTTATTTGATATATCAATTTGGTATTATTGTTTCCATTGATGTACAAATTACATTAAAATAATGACATTTTGTTGACATGTATAATATGTAGAATTACTTAAGGGGATTTGATTATCTTGAGTATTTTTTTTATATTTCCGATCTTTTTTTTTTTTTGGTTTGTGGTACTGGTGTTTACCGTTTTAAATCTTATTTCTAGAGGTCGCTGGATTCAATATACCTGGATGAATATTTGAATTAACTAGAGAAAATAATATTTGTTTATTTGATTTTTTTGTTTGACGGTATAATCTAAATTGCTGTATTCTTTTCAAGTCGGTACAAAATGTTTCGTATGGTATTGCCATACATAATCAGGCCCAAGCATAACCATCGACGAGAATGGTGTTGATAAATTTGTCTAACATTTTGAAAAAGTTGCAGACACTTTAAAATGGCCAAAAGAGCACGGGACTTTACTATTACAGAATGTCTTATTAGGAAAGCCCGTGCAATTTACACTCAGTTAAGCATTGAGCAGTTTACAAGTTATGATGCTGAGGTTATTCTGAAAGGCTATGGATTGGTCCCTGGGGCATACAGAAAAAAAGTTTAGGAACTTTCAAAGAGTGAGTTTCCAAACTCATGTTGAGTTCGCGAGAATTAAAGAACAATTGTTTGATCGATGGTGTTTGTCAAGAAAGGTTGGAAAACATTATGATAATTTACGCTAGTTGATTCTTGCTGAAGACGTCAAGAGTTGCAAGAACTCTGATGTCAATGCCGTTTTAGATGAGAAACCAGTCGAAACTTTACAAGAAGCTGCTCGTTTGGCTGATGACTATTCTTTAACTCATTAGCAATCCTTTGTCCCTAAATTTGCAGGTCAATATACACACTCATCTGGAAGTTCAAAAGGAATTGGTAATCATAAATCCCAGAAGTCCCAATTAGAAAGCCCACACCAAGTTGTGTCATCTGGTTGTACAAACCAGTCAAAGAATTCAAAGAGCAAAATGAGAGCACCAATCACTTTTTCTCCTTTGACTTGCTGGTATTGCAAACAAAAAGGGCACAATGCAATCAACTGTGGGAAATTGAAAAACAAAAAGCTAATGATGAGTCTATGCCAACATGTCTCACCACTTTGGAATCAGACCCACAGTCTTATGTTAATAAAGGTAGCGCGTTTACAAAGGTTAACAAACCTAGAGTAAGGTCTCAAAATCTTATTCAGTTATAGAGATCTATGAGCCATTCATGTTGGATGGTTTTGTTACACTTTAAGTTGATTCTAGCCCACCATGCCTTGTTAAGATTTTAAGAGACACAGGAGCTTCTCAGTCTTTGATTTTTGCTGATATATTGCCTTTTTGCGAGAAGTCTTCTTCTGGTGATAGTGTCCTTATTCAGGGTGTTGAGTGTGGTTTTGTAAGTGTTCCGCTCCATAATATCTATTTAACATCAGTTTTTATGCTCCCACAAAGTGGGGAGCATATAGCGTTGCACTTGTCCGTCCGTCTGTCCGTCCGTACGTCCCGAAATCTTGTGAACGCAACTCCTCTTAAAAAGGATGGCAGATTTTGCATAAACTTCCAGGGATGAACAACCTTAATGTGTAGATGGTAGTAAAGGAAGGAATTTTCGCTGCGACCAAATTTAACAGAATTATGGCCCTTTGTTGATTTTTTTCACTATATACTATGTAGAAATTTTGTGAACGCAACTCCTCTTAAACCGGATGGCAGATTTTACTTAAACTTCCAGGGATAAACAACCTTAATGTGTAGATGGAAGTAAAGGAAGGAATTTTTGCTGCGACCAAATTTAATAGAATTATGGCCCTTTGTTGATTTTTTCACTATATACCAAATAGAAATTTTGTGAACGCAACTCCTCTTTAACCGGATGGCAGATTTTGCTTAAACTTCCAGGGATGAACAACCTTAATGTGTAGATGGAAGTAAAGGAAGGAATTTTTGCTGCGACCAAATTCAACAGAATTATGGCCCTTTGTTGATTTTTTTCACTATATACTATATAGAAATTTTGTGAACGCAACTCCTCTTAAACCGGATGGCAAATTTTGCTTAAACATCCATACAGATATGCATGCTCTTGTTTACGAGCACATCTACACAGTGGGGGCATCCGTGTCCTTTGGACACAGTTCTAGTTTGTTACTGGACTGGTTTCTATAGGTGTTAAGTCGTCGATACCCTTTAAAGGTGTCAATTTGTTGCTAGGTAATTATTTAGCTGGACATAAGGTCGTGGTTAACCCACTTCTTACTGACAAACCAAACTTAAATCAAACTCCTTGTTTTGTTGTGCAGGAAATTCCTGATATTTACCCTTCTTGTGCAGGCACTTGAGCTATGGCAAAGAAAGCCATTGATGAAACGAATAGTTAAGCCTTTGATTGTAACAAAAAGGACATTGACCTATCTGATACATTTTTATGTCAAATATTTGATAATGATATACACACTCATTTTGTGATAGTGTGAATAAAACGCTCTTAAGTACAAATTCAAATAATCTTGGTCATGATACTAAGTAAGTCAAGGTCACAACTTGTTGAAGCACAACATAGTGATCCTGAACTCCCAAATTTTTCCAAAGGGTTTTGCCAAAGAATGAACTTTCTGAAGTTCCTATTGGTTACTGTGAAAAAAGGTGTCCTGATGAGGAAATGGCGTCCTCCAGACTTCCAAGCTTATAAGGATTGGTCAGTCAGTCACAAAATTGTGGTTTCTAAAGGTTATCGAAAAAACATTCTGAGCTTGGCCCATGAAACTCCATTGTCAGATCATTTACGTATCAATAAAACATACCATAAGATCATTTCTTTTGGACAGGATTGAAATCAGATATGATTCGAAATTGTAACTCGTGTCACACTTGTCAAATGGTAGGCAAGCCAAATCAGACAATACCTAAGGCACAGTTACATCTCATTCCTACAATTGAAGAGCCATTTAGTAGGATTCTCATAGATTGTGTAGGACCTTTGGCCAAAACTAGGTCAGGAAACGAGTATATTCTGACAATAATGTGTGCTTCTACTCGCTTCCAGGGGATATACCTTTGAGAAATATTTAGGCCAAGAAAATTGTTAATGCCCTAGTCAAGTTTTTCACGTTCGTAGGTCTTCCAAAATATGTACAGTCAGACCAGGGTTCGAATTTCATGTCTCATATATTCCAACAGGTCATGCATGAGTTAGGAATAAAGCAATATAGATCATCGGCTTATCATCCTGAGAGCCAAGGTGCTCTTGAACGATTCCATGAAACTCTGAAAAATATGATTAGAACATATATTGTTTTGACACTGAAAGGAGGAATTGGGATGAAGGTATTCCCTTGTTCCTGTTTGCCGCAAGAGAGTCAGTCTGTACAAGAATCTCTAGGTTTCAGTCCATTTGAACACGTGTCTGGACACGCAGTTAGCAGACCTTTGCAAATTTTAAAAGAGAAATTCTTGTTTGCAGATAATTCATATGTAAATTTGCTGATGTATGTCTCAGACCTTAGAGAAAGATTTTAATCTCAGACCTTAGAGAAAGATTTTATCTAGAGCTTGTGATGTTTCGAGACAAAATGTCAAAGTAACTCAAATCTAAATGAAACTTAGATATGACGAGAATGCTAAAGTAAGGTCATTTCAGCCTGGTGATAAAGTTCTGGCTCTTTTGCCTATTCCTGGTAATCCGCTAGATATTTTGGTCCTTACATTGTTGATAAGAAAGTATGTGATCTTAATTATGTTATTTGAATATCTGGGAGGCGAAAAGAAAAACAAATGTGTCATATCAATATGCTTAAGAAATACATTGATAGAGATTCTGAGAATATTGTTAAGCCCGTTACAATGACTCTCGTATAAACAAAACGTTAGTGAGATATAGATGAATTTGAAAATGTGGCAAAAACTGATTCTTGTATACCAAAACTAGAAAATTCTGACATTTTCAAGAATATAGACCAGAAATTTGTTCACCTTCAAGACATGTTAGGGGAAAAGATATCATTATTCCTGATGCTTTATCCCGTGTATAATACACTATATTAATTGCTTGATAATAATTATATTTCATAAATCTTTTTTCTTTACGAGAGGGGGTGCTAGTATATAGGCTTTATTATAAATGTGTAAAGTATCTATTTCCTGAATAGCTCAGTAGGTAGAGCGCAGGATTGATAATCCCGAGGTCGTGGGTACGATACCTACTCTCGTCACTATTATCTTTAATAATTGTGTTTATTTGATGTTGATATAATTTTTCATGTTCATTCATCTTCTTTCAAGAAAGTTTTTTTCTCATTGTTCATTTCCGAATATTCTCCCCTCTAAAATAGTATTCTTATTCGTGTGTTGCTAATTGTGTTATTGTGTGATGTTATATACTGATTGTGTGCTTAATTGTATTATAGTTAATCAATAAATGGGTATAACAAAACTTCCATAGGATGTTCAAGTTCTTTGCGATAACTTTGACACACGGATGTAATCAGATAGATTAATCGAGACAGTTTATTGCTTTCCATTTCAACAGGAAAATTTAGGATGTGGGACTGGAATACTTAGGACGTCCCATTCTCACTAAGGTCAAACCCACCACTATAATTTGGTTAGGTCAAGTGACCACCACACTCCTCCCCGTCCTATTTGGAAAGGCTGGCTACCAGATAGACCTTTT